CGGTGACCAGGCCTGAGCCTCCCGCCCGGCCGGGCTCCCGCGCACGTACCTCCACCAGGAGCAGCAGCAGCAGCAGCATAGCCCATCGGCGCACAGCCCGAAAGCCACCGCGAACTCGGGTGTCCCTACTAACTCCAGTAAGAACTAGTGCCTTGGGATGGCAGCGTGGGCGGGGCGTTTAAGCAGGGCGCCGCGCGGCGATTGGTGGCCGCTGAGTCATCCGTGTGCTGAGCCCGCCCCGCGCGCTCTCGCCAACATGGCGAGCGACACAGCTGTTTGGTGCGGGTGTGGTCAGCCGGACTCCCAGCCGCCCTGTGTACACCGAGGGGAGCGCTGCAGTCCTGCCCATCCTCCCAGCCCTTGCCATGTTGGAGCCCGTGGGTGCAGCCACTGTCAGTCCGTCTCCTTGAGGGCTTCCCCTTTTTTGCTGACCCTTACCAAATGTGATGTCCTTCTCCAGGGAACGGTTCCTTCTGACCACGTGACCAAAGCAGGGCGCCAAGTCTGGCCATTCCAGCTTCCAAGGAGCACTCAGGCGGCACTTCGTGCAGGACAGGTGTTTGCAGCCCCTCCCCCTCCTGACATGCCCAGCCGTGGCTTCCATCCGCCCTTGTCCCTGGTACCTGAAACCCCACGGGCCCCCTACTGGCTGAGTCGCTCCCGGGAGACACCCCCTTTCCCCAGGAGCACCCCAAGAAGAGAACACTCCACATGTGTATCCGTTTATTTCACCTTATGGGGCATAAACTCGTCCCCGAGGGATGGGGAGATGAGAACGTGGGCGCGAACATTGGATATGGCCGTCAGTTGCTCAGTGCCACCACCACCGCAGTTTAAGGCTCTGCAGGCGTGTGTGTCCGTGGTTACGCACATGCACACACGCACGCACACGTGGGGACAGATGCCAGGCGCCGAGGCCCACAATGCTACAGTGATGTGGATTACGAGTGTCAACCTGGAAGACTGTGACCTTCCAAGACCCGCGGGGCGGCCCCAAGAGCCCAGCCTCACCGCCACCTCTCCCACCGTCACGTGGGCACAGCCCTGGCTCTGCCCAGGGGGCTGGTCTCTGGTCTCGAGGGTGCGGCAGGCCCATTTGATGCACACTGGGCCCTGTCCTGACTCACATGGCAGAGTAAGACCCAAACGTCCCCCAGCAGCCCGAGCTGAGACAAGCTGCCTCCTCTCAGGGCCGGTCCACGCTTCGGGCGTGGGGACTTCTCCCTGGGTACCCCAAGCTCATTCTGGACTTGCTCCAGGCTGTTCCTCAAAGCAGTGCCCACAGGAGGGTGACTGTCCGCCCTGACCAGCCCCCGTCAAGTGTTCACTGTCCTGCTCGGGGAGGCGGGCTGGATGGAAAACGGCGAGGCTGACTTGTCGCAGGGGCCGCATTTGGCTTGAGCAGTAAGGCTGGGTGGCGGAGGCTTCCAAGGAGGCCGGCCCTCCTCAGGAGGAGCCCAGCACCCCGCCCACAGTGCCGTCCTCCTGTCCACAGGCCCGCGCTCGGGGCCTCGGCCACCACCGGGCAGGTTAAAGTGCTGGTGCCTGGGCGGCAGGGGTGCCGGGGGGCCGGTGTCGCTGGCCCGAGGGTCTCATTTGAGGATGGAGTTGATAAGCAGCTGACAGGCCAGCAGCACACAGAGCAGGACCCAAGAGCGGGGACTCTGCAGGAAGCGGGGGGCTGGCGGGGGTGCAGCCTGGACCGTGCAGCTCAACATGGCCGAGAGGTGCCTATAAGACAGGCCAGGGCTGTGCTGGAGCCCCCACCCACAGATCCTGCTTCCCCAGGCAGGACGGGGCCTCTGGGTGCCTGAGCCTGTGCGGGACACACAGGGACAGGGGACAGGTGCCTTTGAGGCCAGACAGGGGCTGCGCTGGGCTTCCCAGCCACACATTCCCGGGAGGGAGGCTGAGGGCGAGGAGCTACTGCGGCTGCCCGGCAGCCTGCCCGGGAATCTGACCTCATTTGACTTCAATGAGGGAAGTTGCCAGGCTTCTCTCCCAAGGCTCCCAGGCTCTAGACCCAGCTCGTAAGCCGCCTCCTCACCTGGACTCACTCCTCCTCCCCAGCCTGAGTCACTCACGGTGCTCGACTCTGCTCTCTCAAGCCCTGCTTTCACCTCCTCTAGACCTTAGGGCTGCCTCCTCCTCCAGGAAGCCCTCCCTGACCCCCCTGGGCCCCGGGCTCTGGGCTGTGGCCCCGCTGCCTAGGAACCGTCCAGTCACCCTGGATGTCATGAAGGGCTGCCCTGTTGGTCCTCCCAGGGGCCTTGCTGGGCACCTGGCCTACAGCCCGGCGCCTGCAGGCCCTCATCTGACTCTGTAAGCACTGCTGTCATCCCAAGTTGCAGGTGGGCACACTGAGGCAAGGTCCGTCTGTCTGAGCCCCCCCAGTCATCAACCACCACAGCCTCGACCAGATGCCAGGAGACTGGGTTTGAGCCCAAGCTCGTGACCTCTGACCTCTGCTGGGCAGGGCCTCGGGTCTATTGTAGGGAGACATCACAGAGCCAGTCTCCCACCCCCAGCATCACGCCATCCTTGAGGCCCTGCCATGCTGGACGCAGCGGTAACTGGGGACATGGTGGCGGGGGTGGGGGGCGTTGTCTGTAGTCTCTCCTTTCTGGGCCTCTGCCTGGCTTTCTGTCCTTCTGGGCCACAGTCAGTCCCATGCCCAGCCTACCTCCGCCCCCCATGTCCAGACCAAAAAAACCAAAAAACCAAATTCACGGCCTTAAAATCATTTCCGACTTGCCCAAGGCTTCAATATCCAGCTATCTCTCTGGCCCAGGAGCTCTGGTGGTGTAGTGCCTAAGGCATTTGACTGCTAACCAGAAGGCTGACAGTTCAAATCCACCCGCCACTCCTCAGAAGGAAGGATGTGCAACCTACTTCATAAAGATACTGCCTCAGAAACCCAAGAGGGGGTCGCTATGAGTTGGATAAGACTTGACAGCAGTGAGTTTGGTTTGGTTTGCCCTGGCCCAGCATCCAGACCACGCCTGGCCTCCCGCTCAGCTGCTCAGAGCCCCTGCCAGCCACACGCCCACCACAGCTGGTGCCCGCCCGGGCCACTCCGATGCACTCACCCCACGCTCCCCGGGTCCCTGGGGCCCAAGCCTTGCTGTGGGGGGGCGCAGCACCCCGCTCACCTGTGCAGGTCCTGCTGGACCTCTCGGACGGACAGCACCGCCTCATGCAATGCCTGCAGCCGCCGGGCCTCCTTCCCACACCGTGGGCACGGGCTCCCGCAGCCTGAGGAGGGCACAGGAACACAGAGGACTAGAGGTCACAGACAGCACCCCCACCCCCCGCCTCTCCTGGCGCAGCCCTGCCACCTGAGGAAGGTGACTCACCTGGCCTGGGTGTTTCCCGCCTCCCTCCACAGCCCAACCCGACCTTCCGGTGCTGGGGGTCAGTGCAGCCTGGTGGGGAGGAGATTCCCACACGCACACCTGGGTGCTTCCTGCCACTGGGGGCCCCCTCCCCGCCCGCCTCACCTCCCTGCCCGCTCAGCCCCCAGGCATCCGGGACAGGCTCACCGGGCTGGAAGTCACCGTCCTCATCGGACAGCTCCGGGCAGGACTCGGGCGTGGAGCCACTGCTCTCAGTGGCCTGGCTGTGGCCCGACGGCTGGTCGCTAGCTTTGCGGAGCCGGTGCTCAGGGCCAGGCCCCTGTACAGAGAGGACCCTTGGCAACCAGGAGCCCACAGCCCCCAAGGCCCACATGTCCCTCCCACCGTGGAAGGTGGCACTGAGAGGCCGGGAGCACCCAGAGGACACTGCGCCCCTCCTCAGGGTGCTGGTGTCCTCAGGGGTCTGGCGGGCTGCAGGCTGATCCAGGGCAACTCTAGAAAGGTCACCATGCAGAGGAAGGCCCTGTTGGGCTTTGCGCTTGGACAGACGCAGTGTGGGTGTGAGACCCAGCCCTGGGGGACCGGGAGGCCACTGCTCCCGCTGGGCCTGTTTCCCCCCTGAGCTGCTGACCTCCCTGCAGTTGGGGAGGGCCAGCTAGCACGTGGACCCAGACCCCCTGCCCTGTGTCCCTGGGTTGTGGTGCCCCACAGGTGCAGAAAGGCTGGTGGTGGCAGTGGGCGTGGTCATGCCAGTGACCCAGCGGTGCAGGGTCTGAGGATACCCCGTGAGCTAAAGGACTCCATGGCAGATTCCAGACGGTATGACCCCCAGCACTGAGTGGAGGGGGCGGGGAGCCCAGGACAGGGGTCTCTAAAAGCCTCAGGTACAGACACTGGCCAGGCGCTGGCTGCGTCCTGGGCAGAACCCACAGCAGGAGGTGGCATTAAAGGGCAGACCCTCCAGCGCCTTCCCTGCTCGCCCACCACCGCCCCGCCCCTGCCCTCAGGGGCCGGTCCTGGAGGTGCAGCTGGGCCAGCAACGCACCACCTCATGGCTACTGCGGGCCTGGTAGCGGCTTCCAGCCCCACTCCACAACCAACCAAAGTCATTGCTCTGGTTAAACTCAAACTCACTGCCGTCGAGTCGGATCCCACTCACAGCGACCCCTCCTTGGGTTTCCGAGGCAGTATCGCTATGGAAGTAGATTGCCCCACCTTCCTTCCAGGGAGCAGCTGGTGGGTTTGAACCTCCGGCCTTCTGGTTAGCAGTCAAGTGCCTTAGGCACTACACCACTACTGCTGGCCTGGCAGTGGCTTCCAGCCCAACTGGCTCCTCCCGGACCTCCGCGCCCCTCCTCCCGCCCGCTCCTGGCCCAGGCGGCCCTGCAAACCCTGGCCTGGCAGTGGCTTCCAGCCCAACTGGCTCCTCCCGGACCTCCGTGCCCTTCCTCCCGCCCGCTCCTGGCCCAGGCGGCCCTGCAAACCCTGGCTCTCCTCGCCCCACCCGGGCTGGCCTCAGCTCCTTCATCCACGGGATGAGAAAGCGCTCCCTAAGGCTGCAGAGTAACGGGGATGGCGGGACAATAACCCCCGGCCCCACGGGAGTCCTGTGCTGGGCAGGTAGGGCTGAGGCGAGAGGAGCCCCTGCTGGGAGACAGGGCGAGGGTGTGAAGAGGGGACCCTAGGGCTGAGCACCGGGCGACTCAGTCCCCCCAGTGGTGGCCCCAGCTGGGTGCTGACCTTGCGTCTGGGCCCCGGGCTGTGCAGGAAGGGGGTCAGGCGGGCCACAGCCGTCCTCCGCAGGGTGTGCAGGATCCCGTTTTCTTCGAACTGCAGCAAGTCTTTCTCAGGGTCCCAAGGACTGCGGCTGGAAGGTCAGAGGGTGGCCATTGGCAGAGGGGGCAGCCCTGGGGGTGAGGGGGCCTATCCTGGCCCTTAGCCTCCCAGCAGTGGGCAGAGCTCTCGGGTGGGGTCTGGCTGGGCGTCCCAGGAGAGCTGGCACGGCTGGATCCCGTGTCCTGAGCCCAGGAAGGACCCTGGAGGAAGGTGCTGTGACCCTCCCTCCTCATTCCTTACCCTCCTGAGTGCGGGGCTTTAGTGGGGAGGTGGGGTGACGTGGAGATGTCCCCTAGGGGCAGCCACATGGCAGGGTCCCTGGGGCCACCACTGCACTCACTCCTCATATAGGTAGTGCCACTCCTGGGTGGCAGGGTCCAGGTGGAACAGCCGTGGCGTCCAGGGCGTGAGAGTCTGCTGGCGTTCGAGGGCCCGTCGCCGCTGTGCCTCCTCCAGCACAAACTTCTCCTGTGTGGCCCTGTGCTGGTCGCCCTCACAGATGGCCCTGGTGACATGCTGCCAGAGCCTGTGGGCAGGCACTGTGCTGAGTGGGAGCCTGCCAGTCCCCGGGGGCTTGGAATCACTGCCCCTGGGCCTTTGAAGGGCCCAAGGGCCCCCTTAGAGCACTTCTGCTTGGTTGCCTCCCACGACAGGGAGCTTACTACCTTGAGGGGCTGTCTGTCACAAGAAAGTTCATTCTACTCTCAGTCCTGTCTCCAGCCCCAGGGTTTGCCCCACAGAGCTACTGGTCATCTGCCACTGACGGGCCTGCAAGCCTGTGGCAGTGATGACCCGCCCACTCTTCTCCAGCCCCCCACTCTCTCTAGCTGACCCCTAGCCCCGTGGGCACAAGGGCTCAGCTGAGGCCGCCCTCCCTCCCAGAAACAACACTCTGGGCAGGAGCTCTGGGACCCCGGGGAGCAGTCGCCTGCTGGGCCGTGCCAGGCAGGGCGAGGGTCCCAGCGCCGGGCCTCACCTCTCCGACTCCAGCTCCGTCTGCTGCTCCAACAGCACCGTGTGCCTCTTCAGTCTCTGTGCACGCACCTCTCCCGCCGGGTTCCAGAGGAGCTCAGCACCCACGCGCCCCTCCTCCGTGACGAAGACTTCTCGGTCCTGCCAGGAGTCCCGCGGGTCAGGCTGCCGTCGGGCAGGGGCGCCAGCCCCATCTCGCCCTTGGACCGCGTGGCCCACCACCTGTGCTTGCTGGGGTCTTCCCAGGTGCTCCAAGAGCACTGCCCCCATCAGAGAGGACTGACCTAGCGCCCCGAGAGCCCGCCCCATGTGGGGGCCTTACCCAGCGCCCCGAGAGCCCCCCCTCAGCTTGGGGGCCTTACCCAGCACCCCTAGAGCCCCGCCCCATGTGGGGGCCTTACCCAGCGCCCTGAGAGCCCCACCCTCAGCCTGGGGGCCTTACCCAGCACCCCGAGAGCCCACCCTCAGCTTGGGGGCCTTACCCAGCACCCTGAGAGCCCCACCCTCAGCCTGGGGGCCTTACCCAGCGCCCCGAGAGCCCCCCCTCAGCTTGGGGGCCTTACCCAGCACCCCTAGAGCCCCGCCCCATGTGGGGGCCTTACCCAGTGCCCCGAGAGCCCCACCCTCAGCTTGGGGGCCTTACCCAGCACCCCTAGAGCCCCCCGCCCCATGTGGGGGCCTTACCCAGCGCCCCGAGACTCTCGCCAACACCTCCTCTCCCGCCGTGATCCTCCCTGAGATCTGGTTGATGCTGGTGCTGCCCCTGAAGAAAGGCTGCAGAGACACGGGGACGGTCAGGGGCCGCGGCCTCCCCTTGTCTGGCGCCCTCTGAGAGCTGGGGGAGGGGAGGCCCCGCCCTGGGCGCATCCTCCAGGGACAGGCTGGAGGCTGGGTCGGGCTGCTGGACACCGCAGCCTGAAGTCAAGGACGCTGCCCCCCACCCGGTGGCGAGCTCGGCAGCCCCCTGCCCTCCCTGGGCCCTGCCTGTCCTCCGTGGGGACCAAAGCGTGCTCCCCTCGTGCACACGTGCCCAGGGGCCACTTTGGGGGGAGGGGACCGAGACAGGAACGGACCCAAGGCCTTGCTCCTCCCCGGCCCTGGCCGCCGACTCCCCGTGGCGGCCGGCCCACCTTGAGCTTGAACTCCAGCTCGGCCTGGAGGTTGTTCTTCTCACACTCGATGGTCACTTTGCCACCCAGCTCCATGGTCATGGTGCCATAGAGGATTCCTGAAACATGGGATGTTGGGGTCAGGGGTCACCTCTGCCCAGCAGCGACTGCTGTGTGACCCAGCGGATGGGGCTGGGCGGGGACTGGCAGCTCCAGCGTCCTCCAAGGCCTTGGCCAAGCCACTGTGTGAGGGAAACGACCCACCCTTGCCAGGGTCAACTCTGTCCCACGACACAATCCTCACATCTGCCACGCGGTGGCTCTAGGGCTCCTGTGCCAACGTCAGCTCCAAAGTGCACTGTTCCCCTCGCCCTCTGCCATGTCTGCTGGGCAGTGCCCAGTGCCTGGGGTCCAGCGGACACCCAAGGGCCCAGGATGGTGTCCAGCACATGATGACACCCACAGGCTCGGGATGGTGCCCACACCCGGCACTCAGCAGACACCTGCGGGCCTGGGATAGTGCCCAGCACATGGCAACACCCATGGGCCCAGGATGGTGCCCAGTGCATGTTTTGAATTAGGACGTGTTTTCTGAATTAATGAAGAAAAAAATGAATATTCCATTTCTGGCCACATGGGAGTCCTGGGCCTATGGGTGCTGACTTAGCCCATGGGGGCTACGGATGAGACAGGGTGAGAAGGGACGGGCCCTTCTGATGGGCCGGGAGGTGTGTGAACTGCCAGGCTTGCAGCTGGAACCCAGTGGCCCAGCTTGGATGGCTAGGGTTGAGCTGACCAGAGCCGGCCAAATAAAGAGGGAAATGTGAGCTGGTGTGCATTGCCGTGCACTGACGGCCTGCTCTGGACTGGACTTGGCTTATGCATGCAGATGCTCCAAGTTCCAAATGGAAGAAGATCTTCAGAGAAGGGAACACGTTTGTCTCCTCAAAGGACTGATGTGATAGGGACGGGCGAGTTAGGGATTGGCTAAGGAAAATGGGGGGAGATAAAGCACAAAGTGGTTGCCCTACACACTTTCACTGATGTGCTTACACTTAAAATGACTGGCAGGGGAAGTTGATCTTTCAAGTGTCAGAGGGCCAGTGGCTAGAAGTGCCCAGAGGTGACCTGCAGGGCAGGGAACTGGTTTGGCTCTTCTTCGCATTATTATTTTTTAAAATTTTTATTGTGATTTGGATGAAAGTTTACTGAGCAAATTCACTTTCCACACAGCAGTTCCTACACATTTTGTTTCATAACATTTGCAGTCCCCACAGTGTAACAGCTCTCTTCCCACCTCCTGCCTGTGGTCACCCTTTCCTCGTGTCCTCCTTTCCCATGTATTCCTGCCCCCTGAGTGGTCTCCCTGTGCAAGCACCGCCCTTCTGTCCCCCACAACTGATCGCTCCTAGGAGTGTATCTTCCTGATGTAAATGTTCACCCCATACGCCTGTCTCTTATTCGGCGGGAAGCCACAGGAGTGAGTTCAGTTCCAGACCTGAAGGGCAACTAGGGGCCATAGTCTTGGGGGTCTCACCAGGCTCTGTCAGACCAGTCAACCTGGTCTATTTTTTTTTTTTTTCTGATTTTGAGTTTTGTCCACATTGTTCTCCTACTCTACCCAGGATCTCCTGCAATGATCCCTTTCTGAGGGTTGACAGTGGGGTCTCATGGTTGTATGGGCTGAGGATCACATGGTCTACTAGTTCCTTGGACTAATCGTTTCCATGTGTCTTTGGTTTTCTTCATTCTTCTTTGCTCTGATGACAAGACACCACTGTCACATCTAGAAGGTCGCTTGCAAGCTTTTAAGACCCCAGTTGCTACTCGCCAAAGTAGGTTGTGAAGCAGTGTTTCTGTGTAGTATGTTATGCCAGTGGAGTTTGAGGTCCCTCCCCTGCGACCGTGGTCCTGAGGCCACAGGTCCAACCACTCGCTCCCTCAGGATGGTTGGCTATGGCCAAGAAGCCACCACCACTTTGCCCCTTGTTAGCTCTATTATACATCTGGACATTCTTACAGTACATACAAATGTGTATGTAGAAATATCGTCTGCCGTCCTTCTGTATGGTCATGGGTATGTGCCTTTTGCCTGGTCATACCTGATGGTTCAGCCGGCCACCTGTCTATTTGTCCGTGGATGAATGTTTGTTGTCGCTGACAACGCAGTGCCGTGTGTGTAAAAGGGCTTATTTTTGCTATCTGGTGTCCCTGTCTGTGTCTTCCTCTTCCTTAGTGTTATTGTGCGGTCACTCACTTTTGGTGCATCACCTTCCCTTCACCCTAACTGAAGCCTGCCTTCCTATCTGGCAGTTTGCTATGGCTCTTCTGGCTACGGTCTTTGTGGGCCACCAAATGACGGGGTGGTGGTGGTGGTGGTTCTGTGAGGTCCAGTCGGACCTGACTCATAGCGACCCCTCCTTGGGTTTCCAAGGTGGTATCACTACGGAAGTAGATTGCCAAGTCTTCCTTCCGAGGAGTGGCTGGTGGGTTTGAACCACTAACCTTCTGGTTAGCAGTCAGATGTCTTAGGCACTACACTACCAGAGCTTCTAAATGACTGGGTGAGACTATGTAAATGTGAGGTATCTGTGGGCCACCAAGGGGATCGGATAGCTTGTTAGTAAGCCCACTGTCTTCTCACTAGTCATTAGGGAAACACAAATCAAAACTACAATGAGATACCCACTCTATCCCCACTCAGATGGCTATAAGTGAAAACACACAAACAAAATCCCAGAAAGCAGCCAGTGTTTAAGAGGATGTTAAGGAACAAGAACCTGTATCCATTGCTGGTGGGAGTGTAAAATGGGGAAGATGCTGTGGAAAACATCTTTGCAGGTCCTCAAAACGTTGAACACAGAACTCTATACTCCTCCATTGCTGTGGAGTCCATTCTGACCCACAGCGCCCCTAGAGGACAGAGTGGAACTGCACCACAGGGTCTCCCAGGCTGTCAATCTTCACAGACGCAAAGCCCAAACCACACCCACTGCCGTGGAGTCTATTCTGACCCACAGCGCCCCTAGAGGACAGAGTGGAACTGCACCACAGGGTTTCCAAGCCTGTCATCTTTATGGAAGCAAAGCCCAAACCACACCCACTGCCTGGAGTCCATTCTGACCACAGCGCCCCTGGAGGACAGAGTGGAACCGCCCACAGGGTCTCCAAGGCTGTCAGTGTTCACAGATGCAAAGCCCAAACCACACCCACTGCCGTGGAGTCCATTCTGACCCACAGCGCCCCTAGAGGACAGAGTGGAACTGCCCACAGGGTCTCCA